TAAGATTAAAAAGTGCAGCGCTATAAAAAATGTTTAAAAAGATAAACATTTGTGCGTATAGTCCATAATGTGCAAAAACACTGTAAATAAAGTGCTCTCATATAACATATATACACACACATTTTTATGCATATATTGATAAGTAAATGGATGAAAGTCCATGTGATGGTGAAATTCTGACATCAGTTAGTAATGTTACGTGAAGATCCGTGCTCAGGTGATCTCAATACATTCCATGTGACAATCTGTTCGGTGAAGTGCAGGGGATATAGTAAAAATGCGCACTCACCAGATGCACATTATAAATACGCAATTTTTATAGGTGGTGTAATCTGCCAGAGGTGCCTTTTTTAAGATGGAACGGATGTGCAGCCTGGAAATAGAATCTCCCTCCCCTCTGGATCCTGTGCTGCTCTGCAGCTGTCCTTCACATGGGGCTCTGAAATTTATCAGCTCAATGTAGAGCCAAGAAAGAGGGTGCCCATAGTGTAGTATTTCAAGATTTATTGCATTAAAAGTATTAGTATCATCCACGTGGAGAAAATAGCAAGCATAAAACAAAAAAATACAGACAATTTAGTGTAACGCTCTCTAACTCAAACTGTGATTAGAATCTCCAATGGAGAATTATTATGTGCCAAATGGTGAAACAGTGAAAACGAACAACTCAAAATGGTTAAATACTAAATGACACAAAAAAATGACCACAACACAATGTTAGATATATAGTGAAAACACTAATGTGCCCCCAACACTGGGAGATATAACCTACACAAAAAGTGACAAAATAGTGCTCCGTGTCCACCCACTCATATCAAAATACCAGTAAAAATCAAAACATGGTGAATATAATATAAATAACTCATACAAAAAAAAAATATGTATAATGTGACACCAGTGTCCACAACAATAAGTTAAAAACATGCAGGTGATTATTGTGCGGTGTAGCCTCTGGTGATGACTCCACACACAGCTAGAATGGCTCCTCACCTCCTTCCTGTGACCCTAAAAGGGCCTACAGGCCTATTGGATCACTCCTGATCCTCCTAGGTCAAAACGTATCCTCCAGAGAATTTCAAACCAGCAGACACCGCATATGTCATCCAGACCAGGGACCAGCTCGATTTCCCCTTTCTTAAATGGCTCTAATCAGTATGACCAGCTCTCAAGTAATCCATAAAGAGAGCGAACCTCCATAGCGTGATACCGTTTTATTAAGCAGTAAAAATCAAATGTAACCATAACACTCACATTGATGATCATATTGTACATAGCCTTTAGAACCTCATGTATGGGTGTACTTGCATGGGTTCTTCTGGGAGTCCAAAGATGGCGTCCGTCCGCGCCGGAAGTGACATCACCTACGCGTTGCGTCACTGCTCACGTGACTTCATAAGGGTAACATCATTGGTCAACCATACTTATATAGGGAAGCAATCTGACCAGTCAAGTTAGTGGGTGGACTTACGGCGGCCATTTTCCCGTACCGCAATGATATTCTATCCTACCGCTGTACCAACCACTCTGCTTATTCTAATATACTTGGATAAGCGAAAAAAACATAGAGACTAAAAACCTTATTGGGATCCTTATGAGCAAAGAATGTCCCTATATAATCTAATATGCTCCTCCAATAAACAGTGGCCATTTTTACTGAAGCCCACAGGGATGGCTATTAACATATATTATATACAAAGGATGAAACCAACTAACTTAAACAAAACATATATCAGTTAAAACCCAAAACTGTAAACCACAATGGCTAATATAATTAACCATAACATTAAAATAAACTTTAATATATATAAAATCACTATATAACCCCTACTATATTGCACATCTCATACTAAAATCTCCATACCAACCAATAAGCATAAGACCTTCTGTCTGAGACCATATATACTAACAGTAACCAGGATAACTGATACTAAATAAACTATCGAACATTGTGTTGTGGTAATTGTGTCATTTAGTATTTAACCATTTTGAGTTGTTTGTTTTCACTGTTTCACCATTTGGCACATTATAATTCTCCGTTGGAGATTCTAATCACGGTTTGTGTTAGAGAGCGCTATACCAATTGTCTGTATTTTTTTAGGTAATAAGGTGCAGGTGTTAGCAGCTTATATAGGGTTATTAGGTCTGAGCGCAGGAGGTTTTCCCTTACATAAGCATAAATCAAAGCTGTGTAATATTGCACTGACCAGCCACACTCTAAGATGGCCGCCGGACCTTCATGAGGCTCCAGTGGCGTGACGTCACGGCGTACGGCTCCTCTGTGTTTCGTGCCACGCATGTTATCAAAAGGGGTGTGCCTGTACATATATATATATTTATATTATAAAAATTTGGCCCACCCTTTTGCAGCTATAATGTTTTGACCGGTTTTTCAGAAGTGCATTTGAGAGGTCAAGCGCTGATGTCGGATGAGAAGGCCTGGCTTGCCGTTTCCTTTCTAATTCATCCCAAAGGTGTTCTTTCGGGTTGAGGTCAGGACTCTGTGCAGGCCATTCAAGTTCCTCCACCCCAAACTTGCTTATCCACGGACCTTTCTTTTTGGACCTTGCATTGTGTACTCGTGCGCAGTCCTGTTGGAACAGGATAGCGCCATCCCCAAACTGTTCCCACAAAGTCTGGAGCATGAAATTGTCCAAAATGTCTTGGTATGCTGTCACTATAAGAGTTACCTTCACTGGAACTAAGGGGCCAAGCCCAACACCGAAAAACATCCCCCACACCATAATCCCCCCTCCACCAAACTGTACACTTGGCACAATGCAGTCAGGCAAGTACCATTCTCCTGGCAACTGCCAAACCCAGACATGCCCATTGGATTGCCAGACAAGGAGCGTGATTTGTCAATCCAGAGAACACCTTTGCACTGCTCTGGAGTCCAGTGGCGATGTGCTTTACACCACTGCATCTGACGCTTCAGAATGTGCTGACCCCGCTCTCATTTTACGTGGCCTACCACTTTGTGGCTGAGTTGTTTTCAGTTGCTTCCACTTTGTTATAATACCACTAACAATTTACCGTGGACGATTCAGTAGCAAGAAAATTTCATGGATGGACATTGCACAGGTGGCAACCTATCACGGTACCATGCTTGAATTCACTGAGCTCCTGAGAGCGACCAGTTCTTTCACAAATGTTTGTAGAAGCAGTCTGCATGTCTAGGTGCTTGATTTTATCACCTGTTGCCATGGAGGTGATTGGAACACCAGAATCCAATGATTTAAAGGGGTGTCCTGATACTTTTGGCAATATAGTGTGTGGTGATTTTTGCTCTCGTGTAAAATATTCAGTATGTAGGCTTACTGATCAACTCAATGAATATCAAATGATGTGGTAAATATCAACTCATGTAAGATATAATGAAGGTGAAAAAGTCTTAGACCTCATATTAATGTAAGAATTCAACCAAACATGTAAAGCTCCAATATAATCTATTTGTTTTGCACACCACATGCTGTTTTTTTATCTTGCCTCTTAGATTCCACCTCCCATGTACAATATTTGTAAATGTAAAACACTCCCCAGATCTATAACCTCTTATGTCAAAGTAGCTCATAAATGCCAAAATCAGTGATTTGAAAGACCACCATGCACCACACTCCTTTCATATTCCTCCAGCCCAGACTCTGTATTATGACCCAGTCCTCTGGTTATGCTGCAATTCGAATAAAAGTACAATCAATCTCCATAGTGCAGTAAGTTAAAGCTCTCTTAGTAAAAGGGTATAGCACTCATTTTAAAACCACTGCTTCGGTTATTGTATTTAGGCGCATATACCATCTTGTATAAATACCCCCAATACTTCTGAGTTCCCTGCATGTCTGACATGTCTACCCTCAATACATTTCATCACGGGGTCTTCAGGAGACTGTTATGTAGTGTAATTTCGTAACATTTAACTTGCTGGCTTTCTGATAATTGCTTGGATGTTAACCCAGTGCAAGAAAATGTCAGAACACCTGATCTGTGTACTTGTTAAAAAAAAAAAAAAAAAAAAAAAAATGCATTCAAAGCACACATTTTACTTTGCAATTGTCATGTAATTGATAAACGGTACGAAAACAGATAAAGGTGAATTCATACCAGACTTTCTCCCCAAACCCATATCCCCAGGGTTCCCACTGTGCTTGCCTATGTGGATACCGACTTGTCAGCACCCCTGCAGCTGTCCAGTGGTCAGATTTGAAATCCCTGCTCTTTCCTCGTCTGCTTCAGTGCTTCCAGGATGGACCATATGGATATTCTGTTTGGTCAGCGCTGTCTCGTGACAGCATTGGCCCATCAGAATCAGTCTGGTCCCTTGTTGGAAGCACTGACAGAGCAGGGATTTAAAATCTCCTGATTGTGGGGATGCTGACAACTTGGTAACCCTGGAGGTAAGTACAGCGGGAACTGGGGGGTGTTTGTTCACCTTTGCATTCTTTCTATAAAGGTGAACTAACCCTTTAAGTAATATCCTTATGTTTTTGTAGTAAGGGGTTCTTGAAAACTGGTTTACTATTAATGACTCTGCAAATTGCAAAACTTGTTTTTGGTTGTGGATAGAAATTGAAAGGAATTAGAACACCTGTCAATTTTTATTGCTGTCTGTGGCCCTGTTGGGGAGAGTCACAAAAATCCCTTTGTGCTTTTTACTGTTCTCACCGGGAGTAAAACAAAATCCCAAATTTTGGGTTGACACCAAAACGATAATGGAGAAATCTTTCTAAGGGGACACTAGTCTCTGGTGACACCCTGAAATTCTTTCACTTTGGTGGGATTTCCTCTCACTTTGTTTTGGTTATAGGACAGGAAGTAAAGGGAAATCTCCAATGGAATGAAGATGGCAAAAGAAAAAAACTGATGGGTTATAACCCTCTAATCTATCCAAAATGGGGGAAGATTGTTTTAGCTTTACTTTAATCTGTCTCTTTACAACTGGTTTTAACTGTTTTGAAACTGATACATGTTGCAGTGGTTTTAAAGTTCAAAATCTTTCATTGTAGGAAATTCGGTCCCTGGAAGAGTTTCAGGATAAAAATCAGAAGCTGAGGAAGATTTGGGTTGGAAGGCTGCTTTTGTATTCCACCATTTTGTACCTTATGACTTGTCTTCTTGTTTACAAATGGTACTTTCCTGATGGATTGCCAGCAAGACTCCTGGTTTTTATTACATTTCTGCTTTTTCCAGCATTGTAAGTTTGTTTTGTCTTCTAATTTCATGGTTTGTGTTTTTTGCACGGACAAAACCACCACTTGCAAATTATCAGGTATTTTACTAAAAAAAAAAACTAAGCAAAAAAACCCTAAAGTCTCATTTGCTTTGCAAACTCAGAGTGAATTCATATTTGTTCATGCAGAGGTCACTTTATTATCAGTGGAAAAAGTATAAAATTCTGGGATAAACACTTGTATGTGCCACAATGCATATTTTTTGACAACAGAAATCTGACTGAATAATGTACAACCAGATTATAAAGTGCAGTAAATTGAGGGATGCATATTTTGTGTTGGTTTTAAGCTAGCCATAGATGTATTGAAATTCAGTTTGTTCAGCGGGGACCTGATGAATTTCTACCCATCTATGGACATTACCATTTCCTTTCATGAGAAGTTAATCTGTTGATCGACTTTTCATGAACAGTCTTGTTGGAAATTTTTTTTGCTGTGTTCAGCGCATGCGGTCATCAGCTGAAGTGCTGATCACTGTATTCTGACAGTGGGGGAATGCCGCCGTCAGAATACAGTGAGCGGATTCCTGCATCAACATGGAATGTGTGGATGGGGAAGTCAATTTTAGTGTGTGTGTGTGTGTGTGTGTGTGTGTGTGTGTGTGTGTGTGTGTGTGTGTGTGTGTGTGTGTGTGGTTTTAGCCTGCTGACTGAACACAAAAAAAAAAAAAAACCCTATAGCTTGTATGGCCAACTGTGTGGGATTTCAAATCTGTTTCACTAAGCACACTGCTTTGTATGGCTCTGCTATTACAGGCACACAGTTAACTCTTTGATCACCCCAGATGTTATCCCCTTCCTGCCCAATGCCATCAGTACAGTGTCAATGCTTTTTATTATCTGATCACTGTATTGGTGTCACTGGGGATGTCAGTGACACAGTCAGTTCCCCCCAGTGTCAGAATGCCTGCCACAGTCCCACTATAAGTCAATGATTGCCGCTATTACTAGTAAAAATTTTTTTTAAATATATATACTGCCATTTGTAAACACTTTAACTTTCACGTAAAGCAATTAATTTACACGCATTGGGATTTTTTTTTTGTTTAGCAAAGACATGTAGCAGAATACGTTTTGGCCTAAATTTATCTTGATTTTTAAAATTTTTTACTTGACGTGTTTAATAGCAAAAAATCAAATATATAATATATATATTTTTTCTTTTAGTGTAAAAAATAAACGCACAGGTGGTCAAATACCACTGAAAGAAAGCTATTTGTGGAGGGAAAAAAGTAAATAAATTCGATGCAGCATTACATGACTGTGCAATTGTCAGTTAAAGTAACGCAGCGCCGTATCGCAACAAATGGCCTGGTCAAGGAGTGTTAAATCCTCTGGAGGGCAAGTGATAAGGATCCTGTGGACCACTTGGTGCTATTGGTTGCCTATGTTTTGTTTACCAGTGCTGGTTTGGCATGCCTCCAACCACCAACTAGTGTTTACAAATGAGTGGGCCAAGCCCATTTGCAATGTCTGTGCACAGGACAGGTTTGGCGGTTTATCTACTGCACTATGTTTATCATGGCCAGTTCAGCTCCATGGACTGGGTTGGCAGTGGCACTTTCGGATGTTTTCTGAGGGGGCCACAACTCTTCGACAAGATTTGTATGTAAATATGGTGGACCAGTTGGTTCTGGGCCCTGCGCGCGCGTGTGTGTGAGATGTGACCTTGGTGACAGCTCCATTGCTCTCCAGGCCTTCCACCTCTACCAAGGTACATCGGTGGGTGTTGTTTTTTTTTGTTTTGTTTAGTTTTGCTGTTTTTGTTGGTTTGACTAGCTGTCCATAAAGTCATGGCACCTGTATTTATGGTGATCCCTGGGATGACATCCTCTAGAACCTTCCTGCTTTACGGTCTCTGGTTTTGACAGCACACCTCTTGAAAACACAGGGCTAGGGGGGGTTGTTGGATTCAGTGGTCCCTTTATATTTTTATGTAAGGCAAATCTACCTCCAAGACTTTCACATTGCACCTGGAAGGTTTAAATAGTCTGGTGCATTACTCTGGGTTCCCATTCATGCATCTTCTCGGTGGCTCAGGCTTTTGCTTTCCCCCTACAGGGTGTTGATTGAAAGCTTGCCTTCAGTACCATTACGGGTCAGCTTCTGCTCCGGCAATTTTCCCTCAGGGTCCTCTAGCCACAAACTCTTTGCCTTGTACCTTTTGACCATGGGGTTCATCTAGTGGCTCCCCCTGTGCTTTCTCCATTGCCACTATGTGGGACCCGAACTTGGTTCTTTTGGTCCTACAGCTCCCTTTGTTTTGAGGGCGCTAGGGTTACTCCCCCACTTGTGCCGCTTTATACTAGGGGGTGTTCAAGCCAAACTTGGACTCTTGAGTTTTTATATAATTAGAGAACAATTGAAACTGCATCTATTTTTAGACTTACAGTATCTCACAGAAGTGAGTACACCCCTCACATTTTGTAAATATTTTATTATAGTTTCATGTGACAGCACTGAAGGGATGACACTTTGCTACAATGTAAAGTAGTGAGTGTATGGCTTGTATAACAGTGTAAATTTGCTGTCCCCTCAAAATAACTCAACACACAGCCATTAATGTCTTAACCGCTGGCAACAAAAGTGAGTACACCCCTAAGTAAAAATGTCCAAATTGGGCCCAAAGTGTCAATATTTTATGTGGCCATTATTTTCCAGCACTACCTTAATCCTCTTGGGCATGGAGTTCACCAGAGCTTCACAGGTTGCCACTGGAGTCCTCTTCCACTCCTCCATGACGACATCACGGAGCTGGTGGATGTTGGAGACCTTGCGCTCCTCCACCTTCCATTTGAGGATGCCCCACAGATGGTCAATAGGGTTTAGGTCTGGAGACTTGCTTGGCCAGTCCATCTTCACCCTCAGCTTCTTTAGCAAGGCAGTGGTAGTCTTGGAGGTGTGTTTGGGGTTATGTTGGAATACTGCCCTGCGGCCCAGTCTCCGAAGTTAGGGGGATCATGCTCTGCTTCAGTATGTCACAGTACATGTTAGCATTCATGGTTCCCTCAATGAACTGTAGCTCCCCAGTGCCGGCAGCACTCATGCAGCCCCAGACCATGACACTCCCACCACCATGCTTGACTGTAGGCAAGACACACTTTTCTTTGTACTCCTCACCTTGTTGCCGCCACACACACACTTGACACCATCTGAACCAAATAAGTTTCTCTTGGTCTCATCAGACCACAGGACATGGTTCCAGTAATCCATGTCCTTAGTCTTTGTCTTCAGCAAACTGTTTGTGGGCTTTCTTGTTCATCATCTTTAGAAGAGGCTTCCTTCTGGGAGGACAGCCATGCAGACCAATTTGATACAATGTGCGGCGTATGGTCTGAGCACTGACAGGCTGACCCCCCACCCCTTCAACCTCTGCAGCAATGCTGGCAGCACTTATACGTCTATTTCCCAAAGACAACCTCTAGATATGATGCCGAGTACGTGCACTCAACTTCTTTGGTCGACCATGACGAGGCCTGTTCTGAGTGGAACCTGTCCTGTTAAATCTTTGTATGGTCTTGTCCACCCTGCTGCAGCTCAGTTTCAGGGTCTTGGCAATCTTCTTATAGCCTAGGCCATCTTTATGTAGAGCAACAATTCTTTTTTTCAGATCCTCAGAGTTCTTTGCAATGAGGTGCCATGTTGAACTTCCAGTGACCAGTAGGAGTGAGTGAGCATTAGAACACCAAATTTAACACACCTGCTCATTCACACCTGAGACCTAACACTGAGTCACATGACACCGGGGAGGGAAAATGGTTAATTGGGCGCAATTTGGACACTTTCACTTAGGGGTGTACTCACTTTTGTTGCCATCGGATTAGACATTAATGGCCGTGTGAATTATTTTGAGGGGACACCAAATTTACACTGTTATACAAGCTGTACACTCACTACTTAACTTTGTAGCAAAGTGTCATTTCTTCATTGTTGTCACATGACAAACCTAGAATAAAAAATTTACAAAAATGTGAGGGGTGTACTCACTCCTGTGAGATACTGTGTGTGTGTAAATAATTTCGTATGTGTAAGGGAAAAAGCAGTAGCCAATTGGTTCATATGCTGACAAAAAGCAGAGTGACTGAGAAATGAGCTAATTTGTGCTGCAACTGCTCTTACTGACCTGTCACAAATAGGGGCTGGTCCAGAACAGTATCTGCTCAGAGGGAGTGGGTTGGCTGATGCTGTCCATGAGACTTGGGCCATCTTGTAATGGAAAAGTATTGTGGAGAAAAGCTCTGGGTTAAAATCGAATAAAGCAACAGCTGCTTTTTATTTGATCTTTTATTGGGCTATCCATTTTTATCTTGTTTTGGCTGGAGTTTTTTTCTTTTTAAGAATCCTTAGAGAACTGACCACATGAGTTCTAATGGCTTCCAGTTATCTTTTACTGAAGAATGTGAAGACTGCCATTACTAACCTACTTTTGTGAATGCTAATTTTCTTTGGCTTCAATTTCCAATGACTCGGCACAAGCATTATACAGGTTGGGACTCTTGATCAGCATAGTTGTTTGGGATTTGTAACTCAAGAACTGAAGTTACTGCAGCATGATCTGATGTTTACTCTAAGACCTAGTGCACACCACAAAAGTCCTCCGGAACAGTTTTGCATGCTTTTCTGCATGTTCTTTAATGGGTTTTTGATACGTTTCCAGATGCTTTTAATCTCTTGTGGTTTTGTCGTGTGTTTTTCAATTCCAGGAAAAAAAAAAAACACTGGAACGCACTGCGTTGGTGTGAACTATGCCATTAGAACCCATATAACATACTTTCCATGCTTTTTTGATGCAGAAAAAAAGCATTGCGCTGCATACAGTGTAAAGTGTCCACAAGGGCATCAAAAACCCACCAGATCCCAGTACCGCGAAAACAGGAAAAGGAAGCATAGAAAAATCATTGACTTTATGAAAATTAAAGATTTTGTAATTGAAATAACCCCAAAAAAGGAGGGAAAAGAGCATCTGAAACGCATCCAGAAATTCATCAAAAACTCACTGGAATGTGTTAAAGTGCATGCAGAAACTCATCCGGAAGGGGTGTGGAGAATTGTTTGTGGTGTGAACTGGCCTTAACAAGAAGTGGGAGGCAATAATAGTACCCTGGTTAAGAAATATCTTTTGGTTTATGAATACTTTCAGATAACGGACTTGCTTAGAACTGAAGAATAATTATTGTACAGGGTTTATACAACAAAAACACCATATGTATTGATCCTTTTTATTTACCAGTGTTACTCAATATTATTGCATTTAATGAATAAAGGTGAAGACCACCACTTGAAGTATTATCTATATATTATATACTTACATTTTTGTCCTTTTTTTTTTTTTTTTTTAATGCAGTTTGTGATTGTAATATGTGAATGATGGTGACACCCCCTCAAGAGAATTTAACATGAAATTACATTATATAAATGGTAGTGATCCCTCCAAAATTTAGGAAAAAATATAAAGTTGCATTGTATTAGTAATGGTGGCTCCCCTTCAACAAGGATGCAATATCCATGTAAATACCCCTTTAAAACGCAATATTGAATAGAACATAAACCATATTTCACTAACACAATAGACAAAATCAATAACTTTGCAAGCATATATTGTATTGTGGTTAAGTGGAAACAGGAGTCGGAGGTTCCCATTATTCATTGGTGCAATCTGTGAATGATGTGAGACCTGCTCAAGGGAATCCTAAATATGCAGTTAGCATGTGTAAACGGTAGCGTCACCTCCAAAGATTACGTTTTATATAGTTGCAATATATTAGTCATGGTGGGACTACCTTCAAGAGGATGCAATATATCTGTGTGACACCCCTTAAAACACAATATTGAATATAGTAGAAGCACCACTCCACTTCCTACTGATAATAAAAACAATAACTTGTGCCAATGAATAAGGCCAATTGCACTCAGGCGTACTCATTTACTGATGTTTATGCTCAGAATCTTGTCGACAGATCCTGAGCAAAGTGTTCCGTAAAGATCTTGTATAAACACGCGTAAAGGTGCGTAAGCGCATAGACTAGTACATTTCATCTTCATTGTCAGTTTTTAACTTCCCTAGTGGTATTCCCGAGTGTAGCTCGGGGTAAAGTTTCAGCACCACAAGGGGTAACCCCGAGCTACACTCAAGAATACACTGCAGCATTGCTCCGGGATCTCTTCTTCACTTACCTTGTCCTGCGCTCCCGCGATGTCCCTCCTGCAGTGTCCCCGGCAATGTCCTCCGGCCGATGCCGGCATCAGTCTTCTGGGTTCCGTTCCCTATGACGTCAGGACGTACGGGGGACGGAACGGCGGGAAATTTAAAAATGAAAAAGTGACATTCACTAAATACACTAAAATCACATAGTAAAACATTACTGTATCAAAGCATTTCACATACATTTTGTCCTGTGCCCTGCCTGTATTTTTACCGTTCTTTCTGCCTGGAAACTGGGAAATGTCCATGGCGTCCAAAAAGTGTCCCTTTTTAGGTCAAAAGAGGTTTTAGACCAACTAGAGAACAGCGATAGTAAATTAGAACCACGTGCAGAATTGAGTGATGATTCGTGGGGAAATTTGTCACCAGACACTGAAAACGATTTTGCGACTTTGCTCAGCGATGTGGCGCTTTGTTTCGTCGAACTTGGCGCTCTGTTTCAAATTTCAGTGTTTTTGGTTTGATTATATTATTGAATTAAATATAAATTCTAATTTAATAATCATAAAAATATAATACGATTTCGTTTTTCAAATTTTAACATACCCAGGATATTTACTAGACTCTTGTTCGGACAGATTTCAGTGAGTTTTATTCCTAAAAATTCCAGGCATATAATAAAAAAAAAAACAAAAAACATATTTCCATGCAAAAAAATGTACCGCTTTGAGCACAGAAATACTGACATAATCAGATCGCTAGGGAGGCTACTATACTCATTTATACTCCCATAAACATGCCTATAGATGTGTAAATGTGTGTATAAATTACTGCACTGAAATGTAACATTTTCTATTTGTTTTATGGCTCTATACTCATCACTCTTACTGATCTTTACTCTGCCGTGTGGATTATTCCATAGACCATAATCCATTTCATTTTTTAAAAAGTGGTGTGTTTTTTTTTTTTTTTTTTTTTTTTTTTTGTTTTACTCCCATGTGCATGAGACCGAATGGTGGCAACCTCCATACTTGAATCCAGCCTAAATGTAAAAGTCCTCAAATCTTCTATCCTCCATGCAGCAAATATATTTTTTTTTTGTTTTACTCCCATGTGCATGAGACCGAATGGTGGCAACCTCCATACTTGAATCCAGCCTAAATGTAAAAGTCCTCAAATCTTCTATCCTCCATGCAGCAAATATTTTGGTTGCAAAAGACCATGTGGTGTCGTTCTCCATATGCGCCAATGCTCACCTTCATGTCCTATATTGGAAGATTTTAAAAGTGCTTTTCCCTCGTCTAAGTGGGATCCATCTCTGTAGCTATCTAGTTATCTCCAGATGTGTCCAGTTGGGTTCACTCACATTACGATTTCTCATGAACTTTTTTTAATTTTCAAACGCACACAAAAAGAACCAATACAAGGCCATTATGCTTATTGTTAAAAACACCAGTATTAAAAGCCTCAAAATAATTACTCACATTTTTATATGCACTAGAATCCAGTGCACAACAGAATATATGCCTGTGTAACATTAATTTGCCCTATTAAGGGCTAACGGATCGGCTTCACCTCACTGGAAATGTAGGGCAGCCCTTCCGATCAACTTGATGTCACTGTTGTGATCTGTTTTGCCATGGTCACATAATTTTCTCAAGGTTTTATAGTCTATTCAATATTGCATTTTAAGGGCTGTTTACAGATATATTAAATCCTTGTTGAGGGGCAGCCACCATTACTAATACACTGCAACTTTATAATTTTTTTTTCAAATTTTTGGAGGTGTCACTACTGTTTATACATTGCAGTTGCATATTTGAGTGTCTTGAAACCGTGTCACCATCATTCACACTTTGCAATCGTGTACTGCACAATTTATTTTAAAGTTGCAATAGTTGGAAAGAATACATAATACTGTAAGTGGCGGGCTCCACCTTTTTTATTCAATGCAACAATATTGAGTCACATGTAATTCTGCACTTCCTTATTTACCAATGTGTTTTATTATCTTGGTGTGGGAACACGTGGATGCTTGCAGCAACCCAATTCTGTGTAGAGTTTGTCTATTTAACAGGTTTCACTTTGTTTACTGTGGTTGTGCAGTAGTTAATACATTTTAAGCATTGTATAATGACAACAATTTGGGCCCTGCTCATTGGTGTGCAATCTAAAGACTTTTTTTTTTTTTTCTTTCCGCTCTTAATTACTTTAACAGAATATGGGGTGCAAGAACGGTGCTCATCATATGGTTTGCCAGGCGTACTGAAAGGAATAGTAAGTTTATTAGCACAGCACTGTGCTTTACATATGTTACATTCAGATCTGCCCCTGCCCTCAAAGAGCTTACCATGTAAGGTCACTAACTTGCACTTAGTAATGTAACAGCAAGTAACCAATTTGTGAGCTTGCCCCCCTCCAATGCAAATAGTTTTCACATTGCATTCCAGAAAACTGAATACTACCTCCTAATTGGGGGGGGGGGGGGGGGGAAGGGTTAATTACCTTTTTTCCCAAGTTAAATTAACATGTAATTGTGGGACATCTTGTAAGTTTATGAATTATTTTTTTTTTTTTTTGTGTATTTCCACTTTTACAGCCACGTTGGGATAACACCTGCTTTATATTTGTTGTGTGTTCCTATTCACAGAGCACAAAAAAAAAATAATTGCCGCTTACCTTCTTTTAGATGTGCTTTTCCAGCAGCCTAGGTATCTGGGCTTATTGGTGCTGGGTTTGCCATAATTATATTAATTCATTATCGGTTATAAACTAGATCTAAACATGGTCTGTTCTAATGGTTAAATATTGAGAAGCTGGGATTCTGCATTTGTATGTTAATGAGTGCAACATTGGCCTGTCCTAGGCTTTTCCATTGCAACAGACTCGCACTACACTTGTGTTGTAACACCTTCCTAAGAAAGGTCTAAAACGTAAGATATGGTGAAACGTTTTCTATATATGTATGCTACATGAATGGGAGCATACGAGTGCGTGTTCTCCCTACACTCACTGTTGGTGCACCTGAAATTTTGGTCACATTTGCTTTCATTGTTCCGGTCTCAAAGTAAATCTAAAGTAAGATCATGCACCTAGAAATGCCTGCTATTACCTTTTGAACTCTGCTCGGTGCTTCTGGAGACCTCTAGCTATCAGTGTGCACTGATGGCTCTATTTTGGCTGCTGGTATGCTCTTGATGCTGGTCTTGTGGGTGGAGTTAAGCAGTCATGCTATCTGAATGGAGCAAATGCCAATTTTGCAGTTTATTGGGTGCAGTTTGCTTTGCAGCTATTTTTGATAGAATCCCCAGACTGCACTGCCTAAGCGAATAACTTAAAGGAATGTGGCAGCACTGGATGAGATTTATAGTGGTTTTCTCAAGACTTCTGAATCTTTAGTGATCTCTGATGGCTTGTCGATGGTCCTAGGCTGCTCAGTCCCTGGAGGTAATGGGCAGGGTGCTGGTTCCTCAAGCTTGAAACTTTTTTTTTTTTGTGTGTGTGTGGGCAGCGAGGAGTGTCCCTTCATTGAAGAGTCATTTACATGAAAAGTTTGGCTCCATACTTAGTAAAAAACAAAATGCAGCCAGTGATTTGGGGAATTAAAGCACCCACCTTTCTTTGTTCTTTTGTGAGACTATCGGGCATGTTCCATGGAAGTACTAGGGAGACTGGTTCAGGGTCTTTAAGTTTCAGCACAATGTGAGGGCTGAAATGCTCCTTTTTGGTATGATGAGTTTTTGTAAATCATGTTGTGTTGGCATGTTGCAATGCTATTCATTATGAATAGTCCCGCAATGTGCTAAGGCTTTTGCAGCTATAACATGTATTGCAGCGCATCTCAAGGCATGGTAACTTCTTGTTTGTCAAAGTGTTTTTGGTCTGTTTTTGTTCATTGGCAGCCCATTTAAAATGCAGTGGGGTGCCTTAATGTGACACATGTTAGCACAACATGCATGTAATAACACAACGTCCAAAAATGGCAAAGCGTGAATCCAGCCTCTGTTTGTTTGTTCCTGAATTGCCACATGGGTACTTGCTGTGGGTCAGTGACTCAGAGGGGTGCGATTTTTGTTTTTTACTTTTTTGACCGTTCTCCTTTAAACATAACTTTCTCTAGTATATCTTCATCTTGAAGTCCTTTCTAGCACTGCATGAACTAGACCTTTTTTGTGGCCCTTTCCCCTATATGCCATAAGTTGATAACCACTGTTCTAACATTCAACCTGACCTGCTATTTTTTATTTGGAGAATTGAGCTGTAGTCCTTGTTTTGGTTTTTTGCAGATGAGGCACTGGAAGAGTTAAAAGCACAGAAGAAAAAGATTGTAAGTAGACTTTACTTGAACTATGTGTACTTTGCTACATATTGAAAACAGTCTGTGTAGTTCAGTAGAATATTCTATTTTCATGACACATCTAAGAGGTAATAAGACTTGGAAAATTGAGAGTCCCAATCAATATCTATGTTGATACACAGGCAGTAGTGTTCATTATTTTTTTTTTTTTTTAATTAACTGTCCTTAAAGTGTTACTAAACCCACAACCGTAAAATCGGCCTGTATATGCAGTAAAACATGCTTGTTATACTCACTGTGGAACCTAAGGGGTTAATCATCTGCATTGTGTAAAAAAGTTGTTTGATCCTGTCTTCTTTGATCCTTCCCTTCTGCCACAGTCCCGAACCACTGCTGATACTACAGAGCCGTAGGAGGCACTCAAAGAATAAATACTCTACACATGCTAAGTTTGGTGTGTATTGATAGAGGGTGCATGTGATCAGCACAGGGCCAATCAACCATGTCCAGAGGGTCAGGGGTCATGCAGCCTTCTAGGACAGTCAGAGGAGAATGAAAACTCCTATAGGATTAACTAGTGCTCAGCTGAACACTGATAGAAGTCACAAGACTGCTCTAACTGCTGATGAGGAAAGGTGATTTTAGCAGTTTATATTTACTAAGATAATTGCATTTCCATGTTCTGTGTACTGTGGGAGATTAGATATAAAACAAAATATAGAAGACCGTGTTACTAAACTCAGGACCCTGCATTCACTATGTCTTATGTTTTAAGGTTACATACCACCTTTATTCTGTCCTAGTACGTAAAAACTGCATTGTATTAAGACATCCCAATTGAGGTTTTTTTTTTTTTTTTTTTTTTTTTACACACAATGCAGTGTTCATATAGTTTGCATTGTTGGTCTTGGTGCTCCCATGAAGAAAATGTAATGAAAGTTTTTGCTTACATTAGTTTCCCGTGTGCTGTAACTTGTACAGTTTGGGAAAACAATTGAGGTGAGTGTGAGAGAGATACCTTTACATGCACATGAACTTTATAGACATCCCAATTTTAGTCCATAGGTTTCAATATTGAGTTGGCCCTCCCTTTGCAGCTATAACAGCTTCAGCTCTTCTGGGAAGGCTGTCCAAAAGGTTTAGGAGTGTGTCTATGGGAATGTTTTGACATTTTTTCCAGAAGCGCATTTGTGAGGTTGGGCACTGATTGTCTGGCAAGGAGGCCTGGCTCGCAGTCTCCACTCTAATCCATCCCAAAGGTGTTCTATCAGGTTGAGGTCAGGACTCTGTGCAGGCCAGTCAAGTTCCTCCACCCCAAACTCGCTCATCAATGTGTGTGTGTGTTTTTTTTTTTTTTTTTTTTTTTTTATGGACCATGCTTTGTGCAAAGTCATGTTGGAACAGGAGGGGCCATCCCCAAACGGTTACCACAAAGTTGGGAGCATGAACTTGTCCCAAATGTCTTGGTGACACCTTAAGAGTTCCCTAAGGGGCCAAGCCCAACCCCTGAAAAACAACCCCGCACCATAATCCCCCCATTCACCAAACTTTACACTTGGAACAGTCAAGCAAGTACCGTTCTCCTGGCAACCGCCAAACCCAGACATGTCCTTTGGATTGCCAGATAGAGAAGTGTGATTCGTCACTCCAGAAAACACGTCTCCACTACTCTAGAGTCCAGAGGCTTGGATGCAGCTGCTTGGCCATGGAAACCCATTCCAAGAAGTTCTCTACCCACTGTTGTGCTAATCTGAAGGCCACACTTAAAGTGTGGAGAACTTTAACAGGGGTGTGGAAATTTTTGAAAAAACTATGTGTCCAGGGACTAAATCGGCCCCAATCTACTTGCCATCATGACAATCTACTTGTCCATCATGACAATCTACTTGTCCTGAGTAGAAAATTTTTTTTAACCAAAACCGTATTTAAATCTCAGGTGTTTTAAGGAATGTCTGGGGCTTTTAAAATCAAAAGGGGCTTTATGGTGACTTAAACGTTAAATATTTTTAACATTTCACTGTTTTCTCCTCACCTCCCTGTTCCAGCACCACACCCAGAGAACAGCAGGGAGGAGAGAGACCTTGCAGTGTAATGAGCACTGATGATTGGTGCTCGTCTAGAAAGGCATGTCGGACTTATCCTTAAATCCCTTTCGCTGCCAGAGCTGTTTGTGTGTTTTTTTTTTTTTTTTTTTTTTTTTTTTTTAATCTGCACATGTTTAAAAAAATCATATAAGGCCTGAAGATTAAACAAAACCCCCAAACATTATATATTTTCTGAAAGCAGAGACCCTAGAAAATAAAATTAGTGGTAGTTCCAGTTTTTTATGTCACACGATATCACAAAATTTCAGTAAAAATTACTCAAGTTAACTTTAGGGCACAAAAAACAAATAATCCATTTTTTTTTTTTTTTAATGTAAAATGTAAAAGATGAGGTTGCATCGAGTAAATATCCAACATGTCAAACCTTAAATTTGCGCTTGTGAAATGGCAACAAACTTTAGTACTCTATTTTCTATAGATGACACTTATAAAGCCCATTATAGGTCATTAGTATAGTGTTCCGGAGGTCTGTTGCTAGAATTTTTGCCCTCATTCTGGCGTGCGTGGTCACATGTAACACATAATCGTAGGCGCCCCAGCCTGTGCATTTACGTTTGTGCATATATGTAGGGTGGAGGGTCTCAAATGTTTTTTTTGGGGGGGGGGGGGGGGTTAAAAAGTCCACTATGTGTGTGTGGGTTTTTTTTTTTTTTTTTTTTTTTTTGTGACAGGTTCTCTGCAGACAGTTGGTGACTAATGTGCACTTCAGCATGTGCTGACCCTGCTCTGTCATTTTACGTGGCAGAGTTGCTGCTGTTCCCAGTTGCTTCCACTTCTAATACCACTAACAGTTGACCGTGGAATATTTTAGTAGCAAGGAAATTTCATGGATTGACCATTGTCCGTGATAAGTGGCAACCTATCACGGTACCACGCTGGAATTCACTGAGCTCCTGAGAGCGACTCCTTCACCAATGTTTGTAGAAGCAGACTGCATGCCTAGGTGCTTGATTTTATATACCTGTGGCCATGGAGGTGATTGGAATGCCTGAATCCAATGATTTGGAGGGGGGTATTCCAATACTTTTGGCAATATAGTGTGTGTAAATTATTTATATAATTTTTTTTTTTCTATTTAGGATGTCCTATTATGGTCTCATTGCTGGGTTAATGGGATAATCGATTACATTTAAATTTCTACATATCCCTATTTTAAATGTGCATTCCGCTTTTCTCTAACATCACTGTGGTTCTTTGATTATACAAGATGAACAGCCCTAAAGCACATATTCTTGAATGCAGTACATTCCTGGTTAATACTCACTTTCCAGTTCCAGAGATTGCCTATAGCTGCAACCAGTATGAAACAAAAATTTTCACTGTGCCAAATGTTGCTCTAGTAACCAATCACTTAAAAGGTATGTTACGAAAGTTTTAGTAGCCTCTAACTTTCTAGATGATCTGCTTGTAAAGCTATTCATGTGTGTGTAAATTTTAGAACATCTCTTCAATGCAAACATTGTACCATTTGGGGTGTAAAATGCGCAGTGACAGAGAAAATGGGGGAGACTGCTCAAAATGACATCCCAGCTTGTTGGAAAACCTGCTCTTGCAGTCTCTTTCTGGAAATATCACTACTAATCACTTCATTCACAGGACAGTTGACTATCTGACAGGTATCTGCCATCATTTAAAGAAAAACTAAAAATAAGAGCGATATCTTGCAACTTCACTGTGCTCCTTCTAAAAAAAAATTACAAAATGTTCCTTTTACACCAGTCATATGATCATTTTGTTAAAATCAAGGTGAGGCATCAGTGGCAAGTGACATTCTATAGTCCTTCTACCCACGAGGGAGTGACTTCAGCCAGTGAGGTAGTAATGCAAACAGTCTGAGTATTTTCTCTCCACTGCTTGCACACTGGAGTTATATCTGCCCAGCTTCATTTTTGGCATTTTATAGATACAGGAAATGAGCCAAGAGTGTGCCTTGTACTGCGCATGCATCACAGGCAGTGTACCCAAAATAAAAACAAAAGTGCTAAGGGGAAGAGGAACATATTATATGGTTGGAGACTCTTGTCTGTTCTAAAACCGTCCACCACATAGTTTTTTTAATTTAGAGATTGCAGTTCCATTTTAATCACCTGCTGACCTCCTGAAGGATGGCCATACACTGTTGTATGAGAACCTTCACTGTGATGGCTGTCCTTACTGGTTCTCTTTTATCCATTAGATTGTTGCTGTAATCTTTAAAATAAATCTACTCGTACAAATGATTTTGCAGTTGTGTACTAGGATGCCACAGCTCCAAGCACTGCTTCAAGGAGTCTAGCAAAAGGAAATGAAATAAAGATTTTTCAGCCCTAATGGAAAATGAAGCTTTAACCTTTAAAGACAAGCAGGCAAGTTTCCGAAATGTTTTCCTCTTATTGAGTTTTCACAGCATTTGGAGCAAGCTAATTGCTTCTGCTAATAAATAATCTACAATCGATGCTGACAGCAGTTAATTGGCACCGAGACTTTATTCAGCAAAGCGCTTGGCTAACGACCTTCTTTAAATTAATAGCATTAAATGGTACAAGGAAATAAATCTGAGGAATTGCCTGTCATTTGCTGTCATGTCTAATAACTTCCGATAATGATGGCTGATAGATTTTTGCAGATTCCATTATTGAAGTTGCTGCATGTAATTATTCTCCTCATTATATGTAAACAATTAGCAACATTTGGTGTTTCCTTGCAATAAAGCCGTTAAATACCAGCGATACATTTCTATCCTTTCGTTTTTAAGAGCTCAAGTAGCAGAAGATAAGGGAAAGAAGTACTGATGGGCTTTACGTGAGGTGGCTGTTGAGCACTCATTATCTTTACACTCGTTATCTCTGCTAATAGATTACCTAGACTTGACAGTTTTGCGCTGAGGCAGAGCTTGATTGGCTTTTGGAAGTGCATTAATGCAATTTGTTTTGCTGTGAAAAGATACTCCTCCATTATGAACAATATGTACTGATCACAAAACTTGACCAGGCCTTTCAAATGTTTTCCCTGTGCATCTTTGCAGTCTTAAAATGATTCTAAAGGCATGAAGGTTTTTTTTTGTTTTTTTGCCTTAATGCATTCTATGCATTATATAAAAAAAAAAAAGAGCCCCTTTTGAGCGCAGCTCCCCTCCTATACTTATCTGAGCCTGATCTTGATCCAGCACTATGCACAAGGGCAGTGGCTCTCTCTCTTCTCTCCCTCCTCATTCGCTCAGAGACAGCAGTGGGAACCATAGTCTCCTGCCACTGTCAATCACAGCCAGTGAGGTGGGAGTGCGGGGCCAAGTTGTGCACTCTGTGGACACACAAAACCAGCTCAGGAGCGAGCTTCCACAAATGCCGCAATAACTAGATGCTTGCTATGGTGGGCAGTTGGTGAGGGAAGAAAGGCAGGCGTGATGGTGGGGGACCCAAGAAGAGGAGGATTGGGACTGCGCTGTGCAAAACAATTGCACAGGGCAGGTAAGTATGACAGGTTTTTTTATTTTAAAGAAAAAATATGGGTTTATATTTACTTTAAGATCTGGGTGGCTAACTGTTGCAAATTTGAACTTTACTGTAGATCACTCCACAGCACTATTGATCCCTTGATGCAAAAGGCATTACCACTGACTAATAGTGAGGTTTCAAAATGTAAGCTGGCAGTCTATCTCCCCCCCCCCCCCTTTTTTTTTTTTTTTTTTTTTTTTTTTTTTATTAGCCTGAAAATAAAAAACGCAGATTTGCACGTGATGGATGAATGCTCCATGCTGTGCTGTTGGATTGACAGCGGGCACTGCTCTGCTGTCAGCACACTGATCAACACTGCAGCCCTTAATCAAACTAAAAAAATGTTCCTACATTCCCTATTGACAGAAAAGTGGGACTGGCCAAAGATAAATGGAAACTCGGCCAGTTTCTGATGAACCAGCCAAATTGTTTTCATCCATCGATGGCCAGCTTAAAGGATGAGTTCTCCTTTTTCAACACCTGCATTCAGGCTTCCTGTCAGTATGTAACTGACTGCCTGTAAGAGTAGACAGCTTACAGAGAGTCTACAAGAGCCCTGCTTAAAAACACATCCATTTTTTTTTTTTTTTTTTTTTGGGGTACGGAAGGAATGAAACCCCTCGTTGGTTTGCACTGTGCCCCAAGACTTTCTGGAGAGATTTCCCTTATTGTCAGTGATGATGGTTTCACAGGCAGCAATAGAAACTTTACACGGATCCCCATTTTGTATACCTATAAGAAAGTATTACGTTTTATGCTGAAATCACCTACGTATGGCCATCTTGTTTAAGTCTTCTGAACATGTTTGGGTTTATTTTGAAGATGCATAAAATAAAACTGCATTTTTACAGGATCTTATGTGCTATAAAAACTGAGTGTTTGAAAACTTGAAAGTTAGTGTTCCTAAACCCAGGACCCTTCATTCGGTATATCTGGTCTCCTACGGTTCAGAATACATGGAAATGCAATTATTTTCAGTAAATATAAATTGCTAAACACCTTTTCTCATAAACATTTGGAGCAGTCTTGACTTCTATCAGCGTCCAGCCGAGCACTGGTTAAATCTTGTAGGAGGAGTTTTCATTTTGCTCTAGGAGGATGCAGAACCTCTGACTTCTCTCTGGAAAGTGCTGATGGGCCCTGTGCTGATCACATGCCCTCTCCCAAGAAGAAGAAAGGATCAAACAGCATTTTTGCACAATGCAAAGTATTCACTCCTTAGGTTTATACCAAGTATGCTTTACTGCATATACAGACTGATTTTACTGTTGTGGGTTTATTAACACTGTAACTGGTCATCAGTTTGGTTTTAGGAAAACAATGTAAAAGCCAGATATTGTTATGGCATGCAGAAACTGTCCCTGCTGCCTAAAGTTGACCCTGCTTCCTTGGAAGGAATCTGTTTTGTGACGTTTTCGGTTTATGTTGTGCAGTAACTGATCTTTGCATTTGCTTGATTTTCTTAAGAGACTTTAAATTTAGCAAGTATGTAATATATATATTTTCAATCTCACTGTAATGTTGAATTGCAGCTTGAAGAAGTAATGGAGAAAGAAACTTACAAGACTGCCAAACAGATTCTGGAAAGGTTTGATCCAGACTCAAAGAAGTCCAAGGTAAGCACATATAATTTGCTGCAAGCTAAACTGTGTCATAAGAAACGTTTGCTGTGTTAAGCTGATTTGATTTCAATAAATCTGGGACTATTAACATGACTTTTTTTTTTTTTTTTTTTTTTTTTTTTTTGTTTGTTTTTTTGTTCTTGGTGTTGTCTACAGTAAACCGTGCAGGCATAATTTTTATAAAACATGTATGTCCTCATTTATCCCTTTTTGTTCAAGTTTAAATAAAGAAAAACTCCCCTGCTGTCCCATACATCAGTCATATTCATATTCAATTCAATATTCTAATAGTTAAATATAACACTCCCCTCCCACCAGGCTGACAGTGCCCCTTGTACTCATTCTCCAGAGTGAGGGTACTCTAATACATGAGGTGTTACTGGTCAGATCACCAGGTGAAAACAGAGGGATGAAAGCCTAAAAGTACTAATGCATCCACCACATTTTGTGGTAAATTGCAATATATTACAGTTTTGTTTTTGGGTTTAATACCGCTTTAAAGCGGAACTCTGGCCTCCCCCAACCTTGTTATAATTCCATTTGTACCCCCCTAAATTTTTTTGTTCAAATGATGCTTCAGGACCAAGTTTATCTTCTGCTTACTACAGACAGGGCCCCCATTAAGGTATCCATGTCACTGCCTGTGCAAGCAGATGGGTTTTAAGCTGACAAGTCCTCAGTCATACATTGATCTGTTTGGGGACAATGAATTGTTGAATGTTATAGGTATTGTCAATAAAATGTCATAAGTATTTGTCACTAAAAAAAATTCCAGTATCTGCATTGCTACAGTTCGTGGTTATTTTTTACCTAAATCCTTGGCATCTGTACACTTGATTTGTATTTCCTGGCTGAGTCTTCACAGTAAATGGAAGACTGCTGGATTTGGCACCCACAGTACTGAGCTGCTGCAGACTGTGTGGCCTAAATCTGAAATCTAAATCTTACTACTCACAAGACAGGTAAGTTTATACATATTCTAATACCTCTACCTATGTTCCTACAGCTGCCGAATGCACTCCCGATTGTATAAAAAAACAAAGTTTAGTTAATCTTTTTGAGCCTGGGGTGTACTGTTAACAATCTGGGAGTTTTGCTATGTGGCCTTATCTAGAAAGTGATTTGGGCTGCCATCTGACTAAAATGTTTTTTTTTTTTTTGTTTTTTGTTTTTTTTTGTATCAGGAACTTGAGGTCCCTTCTGCTGCTGCTTCTCCTAATACTCCAAGACCAGGCCAAGGTACTGAATTTTTTTTTTTTTTTTTTTTTTTTGGAAGCTATAGGAAAACATGATTTTTGGCTAGTGCATTCTGTGGTACTAAGGCTGGCCATACATTATAAAATTATCTGCAGATTTTTGGTTTAGATTTACCAAAAACCATATAATAGGAGGACAAACCTAAACAACACTTTCAGTTGTATCCAATTAGGCAGGCCCTTGCACTACATAGTTGAAGGTAAATCTAAAGGAAATGGGCAGAAAATCTGCAGATAATTGTATAATGTATGGCCAGCCTTAGGGAGACAAATCCTCTTTTATTGTTAGGAATTGTTAGGTGTGGCTAGATGTTGATGAGCTGCAGGTGTGTATAAATTTGCAGATTTGAATTGCATTTGAATTCTGGAGCAGTGCAGAAGTGTTTGTCACTCCATCAGAAGAAACTGACGTGGTCTTCACTGGCGGAGTTATTGAGTGTGGGGGGAGCAAACAGTGTGTGTATATGTGTGTGTGTATATGTTTTTGTGTGTGTATTGTGTGTTGTTTATGTGTGTGTGTGTGTGTGTATATATATATATGTGTGTTGTATATATATGTGTATATTTATATATATATATATATATATGTGTGTATGTATGTATATTGTGTGTGTGTATGTATATATGTATGTGTGTATGTTGTGTGTGTGTATGTATATGTGTTTGTGTATGTGTATGTGTGTGTGTGTATGTATATATATGTGTGTGTGTGTGTAAATATATTGTTTTGTGTGTGTGTGTATGTAATTGGTGTGTGTTGTATGTATATATGTGTGTGTGTGTGTGTATGTATGTATATATGTGTGTGTGTGTGTGTATGTATGTATATATGTGTGTGTGTGTGTGTGTATGTATGTATTTGTGTGTGTGTGTGTGTGTATGTATGTGTGTGTATGTATATATATATATATATATATATAAAATTCAATTTTTTTTTTTTTTTAAATTAGAGGCCATAGTTCTACTTTTAGGGCCAGTTCACACAACATGCAGTCCAGTGTTTTTTTTGTTTTTTTTTCTCTGCATCAAACTCCTTGATAGTAGGTTACTTGGCCAATGGCATAGTTCACACCAGTGTGGTGAGTTCCAGAAAGAAAATAGAACATGCTGCATTTTTTTTCTAAACTACTGGAATGCAGTAAAATGCATCATGAATGCACCAAAAACTTACCGGACTGCACATGTCCTTAAGTTGAAGAAAAAGGAGAACAAAATGAACCGTACACGTTAATAGACCCCAGCTCTCTCCATAAAACGCATCTGTCATGGCCCATGGTATCACAAGAGATATGTTCATCCCTTGTGATGGCAATAGTTGATTAAAAAAAAAAAAAAAAAAGTGCTTTACCTCTGCTTCCTTCTGGATGGGTACAACCTCAGTAAAACCTTAGCTGCACCCAAATCCCATGCTGTGGGGACAGCCTGTAATGTGGCTTCTGACACTGGATCTTGCATGAGTGGCTCACCTTGGCACTCTAGTTGAGTTAGATGTAGGGTGCTATACAGATCCACGGTTATAGAGCCCAGTCCCTGAAGACCACAAGGCTTGGGTTTTATATATAGTCCAACATTGTGGACCAGCAAGAGAGGGTCACCCAGTCTCTGACTGGTAACAAGTGAAACAGAACCATGTTTGGAACACAATGAAAATATTTTAAACTTTGTGCTAAAATTCACTGAGCTCAGTCTCTGGTGGATGGCCAGGTGTGCACCTGGTCACACTTTACCCACTGCTTTTGCCTACCGCCTTTATACGGTACTCATGCGCTTCCTCCTGCCCTTTCACCATTAGAATTTGTTGCAGGAAAGTCTACACACCTTCTTTCTGGAAGTGCTTACTCCAGTGACCCTACTCTACTCTGAGTACTGTACAGGGGAAAACCCTCACTTGTCGCTGTGGTGGAGACCAGGTGAAGGGGGAGCCAATTCTAAACAGGCAAACCTTTGCTTTGCACAAACAGCTGGCAGGCAGTATATTTTGCCAAATTCCACTCAAGGACTCCCCAGCTCAACATTTTTGTCAGCATGGATAAAGCAAACTTTCATTTAACTTACCCATGCTCCTATCCAGCCAAACAAGAACCATTGTTTTAATGGATCACCACTTCAGCTCTGACAATGGAAAAACTTTTCTTTCCCTACAACTGAAATTTTCTTACAACAGAAACTGGGCTGTCAAGCTGGGGAGGAGTCTTCCAATCCTTAACAGATCAGGGAATAGGGTCAGGATGGGAAATCAAACTCCACTTCAACATCTTAGCTCTCACAGCAGTCAGGTTGTCTCTCCAGCACTGGACCCACCTCCTAAAGGGATACTCAATTCAGATGCAGTCCAACAATGCCACCACATCAACCATAAAGGGAACCACACACAGCCTGGCTGCGTTGAAGGAAACAAACCAGATTCTCTCATGGACTGAAACCTGCTGCCAAGGGATCTCTTCATTCCCCGGAGTGGACAAATGGCAGGCTAATTACTTCAGCCGCCACTGCCTGGACCAAAGAAAATGGTCGTCTTATACAGATGTGTTCAGTCTGATATGCCAATTATCCAGGTGTGGACATCCTAACCTCCAGATACAAGCAACCTCTGTGGCCATACCCAGGGATCTTCTAGCACTGGCCTCAGGTGCTCTAAATTTCCCTTGGTCTCACTGCAGCCTAATCTTTGACTTCTCTTTACTAAGAATTCTGCCTTTCCTGCTCTGTAAAGTAGTGCAAGAGAGGAAAACTGTGATTCTACTTGCATGAAACTGGACACACACAACCTGATACACACGTACTCAGACTTCTAGCAATCATCCCTGGTCTCTTCCCAACAGTCCCGACCTGCTAATTCAAGGCACCCACCCTGCTTCAGTCTCTGACTTCAACAGCATGACTGTGGAAACTCCGGGTCCTAAAGGACAGAGAGCTTTGAGTCTGACTCCTACCTTGCTGAAAGCAAGAAAGGCCACCTCCAAGAAGACTGTATTGTACCTGGGAATCTTATATTGCCTGGTGCAAGCACAGTCAATTTGGTCCCAGAGATTACTCTGTGCCTCACATTCTGGCCTTTCTGCAAACGACGAGTATTGACAAGTATCTAGCCCATAGCACCCCAAAAGAACAAGTGTTGGCCTTATCCATCCTTTTCTAATGGGCGTGGGCTTCTCGCTCCCTTATGAAATCCTTTTCTTTTACAAAGAATTTTATTGTAGAGTAAGCAAAGTTAAACAGTCATACGACAGACAGATGTAATGACCGACAATAATAAATTGTACGATGTAATTGAGCACTAGTATAAATCATATATTGGAAAAAATGTGAGCTTTATCTCGTAATAAAAAATGCCCTGAGGGAGAAGACGATCAGGGGGTAGGAAAGAGACAACTAACATTCTTTGAAGGTCAATGAAATTGTAGACTCTAAAAGGGGTTTTTGCTACATCTACAGATAGAAAACATGAATTACTAAACTTTGGGCTCATGAAAAAAAATCCAAGTTGCATAAGTAGCAGTACATATGTATCACATAAAACAATAAGCCCATTTATTAGGACATGGATAAGAACAGATTAGACAGAAGAATAGAAAGAAACATTCAATGAAAAGACACGAACAAAGAAGAGAGAGAGAGAAAAAAAAAAAAAGAGGGGAGGGGGCCCCAAGAGAATCACAGTAGAATCCATCCTCACATTGACAGAAGGGACTGGTCGAATCTTGATGGTTGAGCTATATCCAGCCAGGGACGCCATATCCGCAGAAATTTGGGATGGGTATCCAACAAAATGGCCGTCAGTTTTTCATTAACCATTATAAAATTCATCCGATTTTTGACAGCCTCAAAGCTAAGAGGGGTCTTCCAAGCCCTCGCAATTGTCAATTTAGTAGCCACAAATAAGTGAGTTGCCAGCTGCCGTTCAGGGCGGAGAAGACCCTCCAGTGGTTTAAATAGAAGTGCTTCATACGGGTTACGTTTAATATCTGTGTGAAACATAGTGCGGAGGAGGGCATACACCCTAATCCATAATCTGCTTACTTTAGGACAAGTCCACCAGATATGAGCCATGGTACCCAATTGTTGGCATCCCCGAAAACAAACTGGTGAATATGTAGGGATGAAACTGGCCAGACAAGCAGGCGTGTAGTACCATCGGTAAAGAATTTTGTATGCATTCTCATGAATGACATTCCTAGAACATTTAGATAATGTTTGGGTCATGGTCCGCCAATCCTATTGATCCAAAGACCCCCCTAATTCAGACTGCCAACGCTGATGATAGGAACGAACCGGGGGAGTTCTATAAGAAATAATAGAAGAGTAAATCGGGGAAATCAAACCCGGAGCATGGGGTCTGTGTCTGCACTGGCTTTCAAAAGGGGACAAACGATAGGGTCCCGAATGCGTGCGTATTAGTGTATTGACAAAGTGACGGAGTTGAAGATATCCAAAGTGTTCCCGCAGGGGAATATTATAAGAAGAACGCAGAGTTTCAAAAGTAAGTATTCGAGTGGGAGTTAAGAGCGAATGTACGTCGTAGAACCCATGCGTCTGCCACCAGATAAACTGCCTGGGATTTTCCCGGCCTGGAGGGAATAGCGGGTTATGCAACAGACGTAACAACGGCAGGTGGGCAGAAATAAGGCCAGCAGAATACTTAATAGAGTCCCAAAGACGGAGCGAGAGCGTCAACGTCGGGCTAAGAGTAGACGGACGTAAAGAAGTAGGAAGCCACGGTAAGGAGGAGAGCGGTATCGGATGGGAGTCCATCATATCTACAACAGCCCACAAGGGAAAATGATGAGAAGCATGGATATGAGCCAAAGGAGCAATATTGGCTGCCAGATAGTAAGACTGGAGATTTGGGACAGATAACCCACCCTCACTCTTTCGCGCAAATAAAATTTTTACTAATTCTGGGACGAGAAGAACTCCAGATAAAGGACAAAAGCTTTCGCTGGTGGATACGCAGAATATGCGAAGGTACTGGAATTGGTAAAA